TGAGTGTGGTTGGTCAGCCAGTTACGAATCATTCTGGTGGTGATGCTGTCTAACCCACATTTTTCTACTTTATCTAGTAGTAGATTATGGTTTACTTTATCAAATGCCTTACTGAAGTCCAAGTAAATTATATCGACAGCATTCCTCTGGTGACTAATTTTGTCACTTTGTCAAAGAATGCAATAAGATTAGACTACCATGATCTTAAACATACTGTTTTAATACCAAAGGGAAAAAGTGGTATGAGTGCTATAATGTGGATTTATTTTTAGACTTCTTAAAAACAGTTTATTGTGCTTATATTTGAATGGAAACCCCTACTAAAATTGTAGAGTTTGGCTTTCAAGTTTCCACGAATGTTATTTTATATTTGCTCTTTTGGGGGGAATTGGATATTTTTAGGTCAGTATTGATTCCTGTTGTCTACCTGGACTAGAAGGGATGCGGTAGCTCAGTGGCTAAGATGCTGAGCTTGTCAATCAGAAAGGTCGGCAGTTTGGTGGTTCGAATCCATTCCGTGCACCTTTGGCATTTAATCATGCCTGCCACATGACCACAGAGATGATTTTGGACAGTGCTAGCTCTACAGCTTTGAAACGAAGATGAGCACCACCCCCTAAAGTTGGGAATGACTAGCAGATATGTGCAAGGGGAACCTTTACTTTTACTTGGACTAGTCCCTTCAATTTTTTTTGCCATTTTTTTTAGAAGTGATTTATTTTTATTTTAATAGCATGGAAGCTCATTTGGGGGGGAGGTAAATACATTTGCTGGAATATAGTACACATGTTGCTTGTATTATTATCTCTTCTTTGCTTTAGTGAAACAGTTTTCAGTTTCTGTACTGATCTATTTTCTCAATATAATAGTGTTACAAGACAAGCAGTTGTGAATTACTGGTGCTCTATGGACCACAGCATGGGAATCATTATTTTGGGGATTAACATTAGAGATGTGAAATACAGAATTTTTACTAAACAATAGCATCAGGAAACACTATTTCATTTCTGAAATTTGGAATTGTTTAAAAATGAAAAATGAAATAACTACAGGAATAAAATGATGTTTGTTGCTACTTTTAAGGTTGTTCCAACTTACTGGTGAGCTCTTGAACAGCTCATATTTAGCATAATTCTTCCGGAAGACAAACCGACTGTCACCACCCACAGGCCATGTGGCCTGAACCTCTACCACGGACTCATGGTCTTCTAAGATCCGCTCTGGAGAAAACAGTGGGAGAAAGAAACACACTACATTAACATCATAGCTACATTCAGAGGTCTTTTAAAATGCTAGACGCATATAGATAAGCAACTCGAAAAATCTGTTAGCCATCATGTTCAATTATCTGATCCCACTTTGTAACCTCTCCAATCTCTGAACATTTTAGATTTCAGGTAGAGGAATCATTTAGGAGTTTTGATTTCCTTTACATAGAAAATAGATAGTTTTTACTCCTTTATAATCTAATTGTTTATGTCCTAGGAATTATTTTATATGGTGAAGCATCTTTTTACATGGGGCCCACCTATGTGAGAATTAGGGCCCCCAAAAGGCGAACACTTGGGCATACTTGCTTCTCGTTGCAAAAAATTCATTTTTATTTTATTATTTTCATTTAAAACGTTTCTGGGTATATCTGACAGAAAGTGTGTTTGTGGATATGAATGCATGTACATGCACACATATACTAGCGGACTGGACTTTCTTTCTTTTCCTCCTCACCCAGGGATAAGTGATGATAGACCTCTACCAGAGACCAGCAGTCATCATGCAAAGAATGGGTTTTCTGCACCAGCATCTCACAAACATGACGGGCTGTGGTCCCTGCTGTGACTTCCAAAGAACAGCAAGTGCGATCTTCACTGTAAACTTTTACTACCTGTGAGAATAGAAAAGGATCAGAGAATAAGCTCAAACACTCACTAGGACTGGCCTGTTCACTGCTGTGAGCAAAGATAGAAGAACAACTTTTAAGAATTCTTACGCAAATACACATACAATTCATGTATTCCAATTTCCTGGATTTTCTTCTCCGAGTTTTTCTTTTTTAAAAAGAAAACTTCTGAAAAAATAACAATATATAATAACTTATACTTCATTCTTTGAAAATGGTACTGCAGCAAAAATATAATACCCACAAAGAAAGACTCTGAAATATATGTAAAGAAGGTTAATGAAGAGCTTAGTGAAGAGAACTTGCAAAAATGGCTAAATTGACTAGATTGATTAGGAAAAAGATAAATACATTTGTCAGTGACTGGAAATCCTTCATGGACTTTTTTCTGAAAATGGAAAGAAGGAACTTGTAATTTATGGGTTTCACAATTAGAAAGAGTAGGATATGGAAAGAAGGGAGCCATGATATAGCTATAGAGAGAAAGAATAAAATGTAAATGCATGTATAATTGCTGGAAAGAAAATTGGAAGTCGCTTGTTTATATCTTTTTTCTTTCCTATTTTTCTTTTTATTTCTTTTCTGTATTTTCTCTTTTATTTTTTTTACTTATTCACTTATCACTTTATTTTTCCTTTAAATTCATAATGTTCAATTTTTTCCTGCTTGACATAATTTCTGCAGTCAACTATGGAAGAATCCATCTAACTGATGTTTCCCAAATTAATAAGTAAAGTGACACATATTTATTCGCAAAGAAGTTCTCTGAATTTTGCAATGTAGCTCTCAACAACAAAATGTGCATATAGAATTCTATAATGGGGAAAACACATACTAAGGAATAATACAGTGAGAATACATGTGCCTTGTTGCATGGACATCTCATTAAAAGAATCATAAAAACGTAGATTTCAACAGGAATGAATATGTGGTTCAAAAATATGAAAGTTGAAGGAACCAAAAGAGGGTTATCTATTTGTCTTTAGCTATGATGCCGATTACATGATTGTCCATTGAATAGTTATGACTATTAAGTTCAGTGAATAGCAAATTTGCAATAAACTATTGCAAGAAAAGTCCCAGAGCCCTCAGCAATGTAGAAGATTATATCAGCTTATTCAGAAAAGAGAAGGATAAATTCTTCAGCAGATGAAAGTTAGGGGAAAATATTTTTGTTTATCCATATACTATGTTTTTCAAATGTCCAGATTGTTTCATAAATCTCATTTATCATTAGCTATTATAACCTGATTTACAGGTGTATCAAAATGACCTATTTGAGGCTTACACACTTCCATTTATCATGCATGAAGGCAACAGCCAAGCAAAATAGGGAAGGATGTTGCTTTCCTATCTGCTACATTCCTCCTACATGATGGAAACAAGATGGCTAATGGCTGGTACTGGTTGGCTACCGATGGAAACAAGATGTTTAAAAGATGTCAAATGACCAGCACTGATTTTATGTTTTATGAATGAGTCAGTTCTGAAACATATCTGCTACACTTCAGTTATTCCACAAGAGGGAGTAAATCTATTATTTAAGTAACAGAATTCAGTTATACAGATTATGCTTAAAGATAATTGAGTATATATTGTACAGTTTATTAAATAAGATTATCCAGAACAATTTCTCGTAATTATTTAGCCCTGTATTCCAATTCCTGATGATGAAGGTGAAATGCATTATAAATATACTGAGATTTTCTCTTTATTGTTATTTTAAATAAACATATATAAAAAAACCTCTTAAGACTTATTTTAAGCTCTTAAAAGGGAGATAGGATGGGATATGTTTTAAAAATTCTTCCACAATTAAATTCAAATCCCCAAATTATTTAAGATGGAAAAAAATAACAAAACTTCTGAATCGTGTAAATACTCAGTGCATATTTTTAAATATATTTTATGTCCAATTAATTATATTGTTTAAGGTTTAACTTTTCTATATTTGTATTTTTGTATAAAAGCTGTTAATAAAGGAGGGTACTTAGTCCTTCTAAAGAACTGGATTCTAGTTATCCAGTAAGAATCCATGTTCAAAATGTCAATAATTGAATTATCAGACTATCATTATTATTTTCTCAGTCTCATGTTTTTCCCAAAACATAGGGAGAGAAAGAGGGAAGGAGGGAGGGGAAGAAAAAGAGAGATGATAGAAAACTACCATTAGTTGGGAGTTTTGATGATAGAAATAATAATAGCAGTGTTATAATGTATTCCCCATTCCTCCTTCCACGGTCCAGGTGTGAAAATGTCCCTGTTGCCATCATTAAGCATATCCATGCAATCACAGTGTCCCACAATCTCATGTTTGCTATTTGTGACGACTTTCTACCAGCTTCTCCATTAACTCTGCTTGTTGGAAACCAATAGTGAAGGTCACAATTGGCAATCACACATGACTACAAGTTACTGCAATGTCATAAATTGTGAGCCAATTGTCCAGTGGCTGAATCATGATAATATGTCCAGAGCAGGAATGCTACAACAGCCACAACTATTGAGAAACAATCATAAATCCCCTCATTCAGCACCATCATAACTTCAAATGGTTGCTAAATGTGTAGTAATTCAATGAGACTAGCTGTATACTCTAAATTTTGTAGGTACATGGTAGTTAATTTTCACCAAGTATACAGATCAGTGGTGGGATTCAATATTTTTTACTACCGGTTCTGTTGGCGTGGCTTTGTGAGCATGGTGTGACTTGGTGGGCATGGCTTTGTGGGCATGGCAGGGGAAGGATACTGCAAAATCCCCATTCCCTCTCCACCCCACTAGCCTGCTTTCCAGCTCCATTCTCTTGTTCAGGGCAACAAAAGAAGCTGGGAGGCTTGGAGGCAGTGGGAGCATGGCCAGTCTATTTGCTAGTTCTCTGAACTACTCAAAATTTCTGCTTTCAGTTCTCCAGAACTTGTCAGAACTGGCTGAATACCACCTCTGATACAGATCTTTTAGTTATCAGCCTCAGATGCAAATTATATTTGGCCAACTTAAAGGATTGTAGGAGGTGTGATGGCTCAGCAATTAAAGATGCTGAGCTTTTCAGCTGGAAAACTGACAGCCTGTGTTCGAGACCTGAGCGCCACTCAACGGGAAGAGCTCCCATTCCTGCCCACCCAGCAGTTCAAAAGCATGCAAATCCAAGTACATTAATAGGTACTACTTTGGCAGGAAGGTAACAGCATTCCCTGCACCTTTGGTGTATAGTCATGTTGGCCACATGACCACAGAAAATGTCCTTGGACAATGCTGGCTTCCACAACCAAGAAACGGAGATAAACACAGCATCCTAGAGTCGGACATAATTGGCAGGAAAACCTTTACCTTTTACATGACTATAACTGTTAAGGATTGCTGTCAACACATATAAAGCTCTTGAAACATATTATATTATATTATTATATTACAAGATGATTGTTACCTATTAGCAGAAAGCCTGAAAATATCAATAAATATTACAAACTCTTTCAAATTAAGTGTATCTCATTTACGTCCCTTATTTCTAGAAAGATAAATATCCTGCATAATTATTCCTATGTTTTCCCCTTTGTTTTTATATTTATATTATTAATTCACACAAACATAAAATCTATTATACTGTGTTTTTGCGAAGTGTTCTGGGCATCAGCCAGTGGAAATCTCATATTTAATTTTTAATGCTGCTTTTGCTATTATGATTTTTGTTGATGTTTCTGTTTATAACACTGTACAATGTGGAAAACAGAATTTATACACCACTGATCTGATTGCTTCTATAAAAAATTCTCATTATCATCCAGGTTTTAGGGGAAACAAATTTAGATTTTGCTAAGTTCCAAACCAGTGAGGGCTGTACCAAAGGGATAGCTATAGTCCTTTGGTGAGTTGCTTTTGCACAAATTCCCAGAGGTATGCCACCAAACCTGTAACAACAGCAACACTGCACATTCCTTGCAAATATTTAAAATGAAAGGCATCCTTCTTGCAAAAACTTGGCAGCTATAAAAAGTAATTTAAATTCCAATATTAGATTTTAATAGCTATACTACATAAGTAGTGGGTGCTATGTCTTAGTTTATTACATTAGCTAAAGGTATGCCTTTAATTGCACTGAGATCTAGAAAATTATTGTTTAAATTAGCATTGATGGCTGGAGGTTAATAGGCAACCAATGTCCACTGATCCATGCAAAAGCAGGCTGAGAAACATTTAGAATAAAAACAAACAAATAAGAAATAAAGTGGTTTTTGCCACTAGTGCAAAGCACTAATCTTTAGAAAGGAGAGATCAGGCACTTACAGAATGTATTTATTTATGAAGGCTATAATATATAAGCTATAAAAATAAGTAACATCACTGGATGGCAGCAAGGATTTAGAGTTTTCTGTGTGAATTGGCTGCTATCTAGTGGGCATCAGCTATTTGTAGCCCAGATATAGTACACCTAACTTATTTATTAATAATAATTTTAAAATTATTGCCATAGGTTATTACAACTTTAATAACACCTTGATCAACAGAAGGCATTGAGTAAAAGGCATTTTTGGTTTTGGTTTTATAGTTTGCAGTTTTAAAAAATAATCATGGGTTAAGGGGGTGAGGGTGTAACCTGTAACTTCCAGAAGGCTACTAAACTTAGCCCCCCATTGCTTCTAGAAAATTGGAGTTGCTCCCATTACTTGCAGAAATATTTGGAGAATTGCTGTTTTCCCATTGCTGCACTGAACACTGCAAATGAAACGTCTCTTAACACAAAAGTGTAGGGGTCAGATGAAAAAGCAAAAAGAGTTTAGTTTATAAAAATGTATGGTCACTGGTTGCTTTCAGAGATGAATAATAATGCATGGTGGCTTTATCACATCTTGTCTGTTTCTTAGTACTTGGAAATAAAAATATAGAGAATGAAATTAAGGTGTTTCTGAATTGTGAAAAAATAATCTTCAGTGTTGCTTTCTAAATTCAATCTGGGGCTTCTTATCACAGACAACTTGGCCACTACTTTCCATGCTCTTCTATATTCCATAGTAAGTTACTATACTACAATACATGATATATGGAGTTTCCTGTGAATATTGGTTAACTTAATATGTCCTTTTTTAAGAAGTTAGTACCCACCCTTCTCCTAGAAAAATGAAATATCCTGAGAAACTTTGAAAGGGCAGAATATTATATTTTCCTCGATAAGAAATGGAGAAACATGTTTTAGGTAGGAAACAGACTCACTCTTAATAGCCCCCACCTTTGTCAATGGGCCATTGAAAAACCATAGGCCAGTCTATTCTATATAACAAAGAACTTTCGCCCTTCAGCTCCAGGGTGATGGAATTAAGGCATGATAGTTTTAACCCTTTACCCATCTCACCACAGGGCACCTGAGAAGAAGCAATGCTCAGCCAAACTTGGACTCAAAACAGCCTAGAGAGTTGCCCCTGCATGGCACCATGGGGGCTCACCGACAAATGCACACTTGACAAAAGCGCGCCGACAAAACTGCAGGGACAAAAGCGCGAGTTCGAAATCACGCCGAAGAATGAACACAGAAGCGTGCCGACAACAGCGCACCGATAGAAGCGCGCTCTAAACCTAACCCTAAAGGTAACCCTAAAGGTAACCCTAAACCTAACCCTGAACCTAACCCTAAACCTAACCCTAAACCAAACCCTTACCCTAACCCTAAACCTAACCCTGAACCTAACCTTAAACCTAATCCTAAACCTAACCCTGAACCTAACCTTAAACCTAATCCTAAACATAACCCTAAACCTAACCCTGAACCTAACCTTAAACCTAATCCTAAACCTAACCCTAAACCTAACCCTGAACCTAACCCTTACCCTAACCCTAACCCTAAACCTAACCCTAAACCTAACTCTGAACCTAGCCCTTACCCTAATCCTAACCCTAACCCTAACCCTAACTCTTACCCTAACCCTTAACTTAACCGGTTCACCGACCCTTACCTTAACCGTAATGGCGCTTCTGTCGGCGCTCTTTTGTTGGCGCGCCTTTGTGGGCGCGCTATCGATGTCGCGGTTTTATCGCCGCGGTTTTGTCGGTGCGCTGTTGTCGGGCGCGCTTTTGTCGGGTCACGCACCATGGGAGTCTGGCAACCAATCAGAATATAAGATCAGGATCAGAGGCCAGAGAGGGCATAAAACCAGGAACTTTCAGCATCTCACTCTCCTTTTCTTCTTCACCCAACATCTGGAAGTATGTGATCCCCCTTTACTGTTCAGGACCTCAAGCCATGTTATCCTGTCCAGTGTCCACCATTAAATCACCTTTCCAAGCAGCCTGCATGTTTATGATGTCTTTTTCCTCACTTGGAGCTGAACCCAAGAACCCAACACTTTTAAAGGCAGGGGAAATGAAATCAGTTCCCACATATTAAATGGAGCTAAATTATCATTTAAAATGGTCAGCTGGATCAATAACTTTCACTGAAAGCAATGAATCTAATCAGTTACAATATAATTTCAAGAATTCTTCACATGTTAACACTTGAGGATACCAGTCTGAGAAAGGATGCTCTATTTATCAAAATTTCCTTTGTAAAATTGAAAGAAAGACTAACCTCTCTCCATGAAATAATCTAAATTTAAAATGGAAATGGCATTCTTGATTGACTGGGAATCTTATAACGGAGATAAAATGAATTTTAAATTTCAAGCAATACTTCTTTGGGGTACATCTAGAAAGTCCTACAGAGATGACAGTGACATATTCACAGTAAGTGAATATAGGCTTTTCCCTATCTTTCTTGTTCTTTTTTTATTCTGATGTCTCTTACAGTTCATCATAGTATTGCTATTTATTGTGATACAAATATGGATTATTTTATTGAATAAAGACATATATTATTGCAATATCTGTTAGCAATTATAACCAGGCAGCAAGAATAAGATGCTTTTAAAAATGTCTTTGATATGAGCACAGGTAGGCTAGCAGACCAGCTGATTAGTAGATTATCAGATGATTTGTTAGCCTGCCTTTGCCTCACATCAAAGTCCTTTTTTAAAAGCATATCTTTAGATAAGAAACCAAAGAGACATCAAGTGGACTCCAATACTTACAAAAGCAGCTGGAAGCCTTCCATCCCATAATTAAAGACTCCCAGCCGATGCTCCCAGGCTAGTTAAACAAAACCTGAGAATCCTGGCAACAATTTCTAAGGGAACCAGCTTTGCCATATCTTGTCCCATGAATCCAAAGCTGTAATTTTCCCTTGACTGTTCTTCTGTCCATACTTTATGGAAGGGGGGGAAAACAATGGATAACACTGAATGTTATATAGATTCAACTGTCAGCTCTTGAGAACAGAGCAAGCCCTGCAATTTAGATTATGTTGCAATGATATTCTAAAAAATAATCATTTTGATGGATGATTGGATGATTATTATTTTTTTGCAATATGGCTAGCTGAAACATGGTTAGCTAATTTGCAACTCACTGTGTTAGGATGGAATTTAACAAAGAATTTAAGGGAACTTTTAGAATTATCAAGAAAACAGAATTACAGTATTTATTTTTCTGAAAAATAAGGAAATATTACAAGAGCTCTCCAGGTTTCAAACTCAAATTAATATGCTAAAGGATTTGTTTAATTAAAAATGGTTGATGAAAAATAGTGTCTGAATTCATATGTGGCATGAAACAAAATAAAAAGAAACACATTTGCACAACATGTGAATCTAGCCAATTATAATACCTTGTCAGGTTATTTAGTTATAAATCATTCTTACTGTGGGCAAGTAGGCAATTTTCACTTAATTTGTATACATGACTGCCCCCCCCTTTTTTTTTTGTAATCCTGCCAAAATGTACCTTGGTACGCTTTTCAACATCTCTGAATTGCAAGACTCAAAAACAACCTCCCTAAAACTGGTTCCTTTCATCAAAGACCATATCACTCGGAACCTGTAGAATTGAAATAAATCATCTGTACAGGCTACATTGGGAGAAAGTACTATAAATTTGGCAGGGGCTACTCTAAGTTTATAGGTGGCTGCGATGAGAGGGAAAGATCCTCTAGGTCTATCTTTAGAGGCATCTTTACTATGCTTCTGTTTCATTCCAGCTTTGCAACAACAACAACAAAAAAAAAACTGAACCCTGTAAAGTTCTTCTAGGTTTCTCCTAAGAATTCAATCCTTAAAGGTTTTGTGCGTATCTCCATGAAATTTTCTTGAATACTCATGGTCTTCTTCTGAAATATTTTCTTGGTTTACAGTTTAGTCTTTATCCTGGGATTATCTAGGAACCTAAGCTTTTCCCAGGTTAGTCAAATCAAATAGTAATTGCCAAATAGTAATGGGCCAGCAAGGAGAACCTGGGCCATCTTCCCCTTCCTCCAAATGCAAAGAGATACACTTACATGAGAGCCACCTTCATGCTGTGATCCTGGCCCCAGTGTGGAGCTGGTGAGGATAGGTGAGTTTGAGGGACTACAGAGTTCCGGAAAAGGGTTTGGGATAGAAGGCAAAGATAAGGTATGAGATTTTTCCTCCTTCATTTTTCTAAAGGAAAAGAATGGAAAGATTGTTATAAATGAGTTAGCTATTAATAGGGCATCTGGGTTATTTGATAATGTCATTATTATTTACTTTATTCATTAAACATGAAACTCGGTCAACTGAACATTCAAACATGCATCACAAATACCATTGACTGGTGATTATTATTGTTGTTGTTGTTGGCTTTTTTTCTAACTAAGTTTGTATTCCATCAGAGCTAATCATGTTATTTATATGCGTAGCATAGCTGTTATTGCGCACCTACCAATGTATCTGAGGCATCATAAGAGGCAAGATTTAGGTATACATATTTATTTAAGCAGTTACCAGTAAGTCAAAATGCCCTGCATGACGTGGCAAGTGGTCTAGCCCCATAATTCAAAATCAACTGTTCCTCATAGAAACATGGTGGATACAGATGAGGGTGCTGTATAGCACTGGAGGTTTTGAAGAAAAGATTGGACAATCGTTTGTCTGAATTGGTCTAGGCTTGGGTTTCCTGTTTGAGCAGAGGGGTGGACTATGAGACCTCCAAGGTCCTTCCCAAGTCTGTTATTCTGCAGCCAGGACGAAATGTAGATGAGACACTCATTATCTCCTGGAAATCTCTATTTGTTTTCTGATACACTCTATTTTTTAATCTCACAAGCAGCAAGCTGCAGAGAAGAGTCAGATAATTCCTACCAGAAGTCTGAACTCATCTCTTGCATATAATTAAGTATTTCAGATCAATATATCACATTCAACACTTATTGCCCAGACTTTAGATCACTTTGCAGTTGTTCACAAAGAGCTCATTCAACAGTCAGTAGACTCAGCAAACTTGCTATATCCATTTTTGTGTGCCACTTGTACTGTGAGCAGACAAGAAAGCAAATATTTAATTCTTTTGGCTTTTTCTTCCCCAATCCTTCTGTGTTACTTCAGGTTTGTAATCTGTATGCATGGCCATTACTGAGAATGAAAGTTTGCACATCTACCAAAGCATCTTGAGGCACCCCAAGAGACAAGGTGTGCAGATTTATCTGAGCAGTTACCAAGGAATTCAAAATGCCCTACATGGCATGGCAAATGGTCTAGCATCACAGTTCAAAATTAACAGATCCTCGGTTTCAGAATTAAAATGAAATCAAGTAACTTTAGATCAAGAATGTACAAGAAAGTGTGTCCTAATGAGTAGTAGAATAGCTGATTCCAACCATGTTTTTATTTTGACCCCAATGTTCAATTCAATTTACTTTATTACAGTCATAGACCAGAGACAAATAAAAACACTCAGTAAATATACAGTTAAAAATTCTAGTATAAAATAATAAATAACAACTAAAATCTATTATAAAATCCAGTCTGTCAATTATACATGGTCTAACTATAGTAAAATTACAATCCATAAACTGTGTGGCCCATTGTCGGTTTAATACTAAAAGGGAAAAGAATAAGCAGTGCAAAAGGTTTGCCACATTTGTTATATAACGTAACTATGGTACAGTAGAAACGTGTTTCTGACAAATCCTCAGTGCACAATGGTCATTGGCATGCAGACTCAGAAGATTATCCTAAAGTTAGTATGATTCTCACAGAAAAAAATTATCTATCGTGTCAAATAAAAGATTTGCATGCTACCTATCAATTTTGGTTCTAATATTTCATTTTGATCATAAAGTGATAAGCTTAATAAACCGTAGATAAAACTAATAATCTATTTCACTTGTTCTACAACTAAAACAGAAAAAGCTATTACGTAGCATATGAGCAACATCTCATTTTTTTCTATTTCTAGACGAGATACAAACATAAGCTGCAAAATAATTAATTCAAAATATAGAAAGCAGATTTCAAGACTTCCCATAATTTTTCCTATTTTTCAATTATGTGGAAAACACAAAGCAGAATCATTGCATTATTCACTAATAAGCTTAGTGTATGTCATACACTCTGATTATGTTCAGAAATAACTTGTTATGAGTAGTTATTTCTGGCACTGACATTGATTCCAGAGAAAACTAAAAGGTCAGACTAAATTTTCTCACCGCTGATTTCTATCTCCACAAAAACAAGCCTTTTGTGACATCATAATGATTTTCTCCATTGTAACATACCTATTTGCTTCGATGAACAGAGGTTGAGAACGCTTGATCACATCAGTGTGGGTCAGAAAGTTGCTCTGCTCACCGTTGCAAAGGGTTGCACTATGATCAGATGGCAGGTCAGCCTCATAAGAGTTGCCCAACATCCTGTTAAGGGTTTTTTGGGAAGTTCCAAGATCCATGTCATTATCTGTAACATATAACAATTTGACTAACTCTTCTAAACTAAGATGATGCAAATATCCAGATAGAACAAGATTCTGAGAAGTAAATGCAAGTTGTTTTTAAAGCAATTCTTCAAAACATTATCACATTTCTTTTTTTTTTACATTAAAAGTTGCTGTTTTGGGGAAATGATAGGATCATGTAGTTAAAAATGTTCACACTAAGGTTGTGTAACACTTCATATTCAAAGGGGAAAAAGATGTGCATAGTTAGGGAAATGGTTAATGGTGATGGTTAATGAAACAAGTAACCACATTCCCCCCTCCCACAAAAAATATCATCCCATTGTGGCTTAAATTAGACATTAAAACTCAGCTCAAAAGTTGCTTATTTGTAAAACATATGAATCACCTTCAAGTTCTCAAAGTGACATACATATTGTTTGTGCTGCTGAAAAATGCATTGTTACCGTCTTTGGTAAAGTTCCAAGGAAAATTATCTTCCCGGAACTAATTTTGATAGCGCTGCAGGAACATAATAAATGGAGTTATAACCCAATCTCACCAAGGCAATTGTCAGTGATCTAGTTGACAAGGGAAAGTAGCATACAGATAACAAAATGAATCCATCTCATCCTCTCCTCTAATATCAGCTCTAGAATATCCAGGTATGAGTATTGTCAATGGGTTCTCTTAAACTCAAATATTATAATGATGAGGTAAACCATACAGAAGGCACACAGTTAATTGTACAGTTGATTCAAGTCCCAAAGGAGAATAGAAGCCTCAATTCATTCTTGTGAATAATGTGTATAAGATGGCAATATGCAAGAGAAATTTGCATTGAAACAAAATTTGTTTTAACCAGTTTCTTGAATAATGTAACATATGGTTATATTAAGTTATAAACTCATCACATTGTGCCAAAACAAAGTAACCACATTACAGCTTAGAACAACACATAGCCATTTAATTTCTGTTTTATTTAACTTCAGTTATCTTTCAATTTCTGAACATTTATTTCCTCAGTATGTGGAATATAGTGTTTTACATGAATTGCAGGACACTCTATGTGGCTATCCCACCACCTGGGTTTTATTTTTGTATGCAACTATCCCAATGAATACTACTTTGGAACACAGCAATATTTTTCTTTATTTTGATTTGATTTAACCCAACCTTATTTATAAGAAACTTAAAGTGACCGATGTACATAATACTTCTTCTCCTCACTATTTTCCCCACAAGAACAACCATGTGAGATGAGTTAGCTTGAGAGTGAGTGAATGAGACGCCCAAGGTTACTCAGCCAGTTTATATGCTTAAGGCAGGGCTAGTAATCTCAGTTTTCTAGTTTCTAGGCCAACAATTTAACACTACACCAAACTGGCATTTTTACACAAATCCCCAAATATAAACAGTTTTTCCAAATATAAACTATTGCTGCCATCTGGATCTGGCTTTTTTGCTGGTACTTCATTGAAAAATATAATATCCAGTATATGCATTAATATAAACTTAACGATTATTGTAATATGGGAGAGTGGTGTAAGGTGATCACATATGCAACAATGCATTGACAGAAGAGTAAGAGTATAATAAGCAGGTTTAGGCAACCTCTTTCTCCTCCTAAAATAAACTCTGTCCAGTTCATTCAAGCACATTATAAAGCCAGTGCTGCTGTATGAATTAATACTAAGGTCCAAATTACAGGCATATTTCTGAAAAGAAAACAGATACACTACAAGAACCAAAATATGAAATTATATAATAGCCTCACCCAGCTTGATTCCTTTCCAGATGTATGATCTTCAATACCCAAATTCTCCGGCTACCATGGTTACTGTTGTCAATAATAAGAACTAAAATCTATACTTCTGAAAGGTAAACCAAACTGGGATTGGAGACAAAAAAAACCCTACCTTGTAATTCCCAGCTCTTTCCCAGAGCTTAATTTTTAAAAGAAGTTTTCAGCCCCTTTGAGATACAGAAAAAGTGCAGAAATATAGTTTTCTACTCAATTTCTCAGGTGATATTTATCATACTTTTTGTAGGTACTTTATCAAATCTGCTGTGCTTTTCTGACAAAGGCTTAACAACCATTAAATCTAATATATTAGGCAACAGATCTACTAGGCATGACTGAATTCATTAGGATGTACGCCTGGATAAAACTGTAGAATTATTAATATCATTCAGATAAAAACTGCCTGGGAAATGGAGAATATGCAAAATTGAATTGAAAAAAATAAAGGAACATACATTGAGGACACCATCTGTGTCACAAGAAATCAGTGATATTCAGTCACATGGGGTCTATAAATCTAAGTAGATCCAAGTACTACTAACCTTAGAACCTTGTGCCAGTTTGCATAAGGCTTCATATGAGATAAACATATTTCAATGTCAGACTCTTTGCAGGTATTTCCTCCCCAAATGCAACAGATAGGTTAATGGAAAAATGCCTAATTCATAGTCACATTTCTATTTATCATTTTTGATTCAGATGTACATACCTATGTTTTTACTACTCAGCAGAATTTTTTAAAAATCTACCTCCCTTAGCGTTCCTTTCCTCATTCACCCATGACTTCATTATCAGAATCAGGTAAAAGTGACTCAGGAGTTCTTTGGGTCAAAGAAGCAATGATGACAGAGTTCAAAAAGCAGTTCAGGTGGCACGGAAGTTATCAGAAAGTCTAATTTCACACACCCTTTGTTGTATTGTGCCAACCACTTTTGTGCCTCGTGGTGAAACTATGTTTGTTGCTCTAATGTTCTCATGAGAGTGACAAAGTGGCTGGGTATATTTTGATAAAGTACTCCACAAAAGTCTTTGTTGTAAATTACCACAGTTAGGCTTCAAGATGATACAAGAAAATTTGGCCCAATCATATGGAATCTTGCTTAACCTGAACCACTCTTGCCATTCATAAAGAGCAGCAGAGAAGTGTGGGGACACGGAAATATTGTCTTTTCATGGGAAACCCTTCTAAGAACTGATATTTTGTCAGTTTCTAATCAAAGACTTTCATGCTTGCCCTCTCGGCGGAAAAACTACAAATAGCAGCCTATTTGTATTCAAGTCCTACCTTAGTCATGAAAACCAGTGGGGTCATTACTCTCTCTCAGCATGACCTACCTTATAAGGTTGTTGTTAGGGAGAAAATAGGAGGAAAGAGGATTAGATGTGTTCACCGCAAGTTATTTGTAAAAATTAAAAAGGCGATATAATGAATGAACAAATAAACAAATAAGTTCTTGACCAGTAGGTTTGCAGAATCCCAAATTACCAAGAGCTTCATTGGTAAAATCACAAAAATCACTACTTTATGCAACAATTCTGTACAGATACATCTGCCCTCAAAAATCAATGTAAATTATTTTTGAGCTTTTGAAAGGCATTCTTAAAATTATTTCCCTTACACAAATTTCTCAACACAGATGGGCACACTTTTTTGTCACCAGAGTATAAACATTGGTTATTTATAAGCCTGCCTGATAAAAAGAAGTGTGAAAGGGACGAAGATAAAATCTGTAGATTTCTTCATTCTCCCAAATGGAACCTAAACAATCAGAGACTCTTTGATTAAGGAAAGGCCCTGGCCTCCTCCAAAACAAAACAATAGCACATCCTGGACTATACCACTTCAGATTCCATGGGTGTGAGAGATCATGTGACCAAGCAGCTCTAAATTCAACAACAGAAATAAGCATGTTGGTGAAAATCTGAAGGAGGAGCATACAAAGCATTTAATCATATTATATCTTCTCCTCGCCCCCTAGTCTCTACTTTGAAGTGGCACATTAGCAAACTAGGTCAACAATGCATCCATGAACAAATACATATGAATAATCATCTAAAGGTAACTCAGTGGTTAAATTGGTCCCACTGCATAAATTAAACCTAAGCAAGTATAATTACTGGAATTCAACTCGCAGTTCAGCTTGCCCTTAAGAAAATGTTCTGAAAACAGGATAAGATTCACAGATTAGGACCTTATAGTTTCCCACTCTGCAGGAATAATATATCCTAAATGACATGTTTTTAATTGATTTCTAATGCACAAATTCCTGAGAAAAATGGTGGCATATGAATTCTTTAAATGTGAAGGATGTAAAAGCTGCAAGAAATGCATCATTTGTCTGAAAAGATGTGAGAACAGATTACCATATGCCCTAGTTTAACTGGGATTGTCCCAATTAAACATGCATTGGTTTAAAAAATTTCCAGGAAGTAGGGCTATAGAACAGCAAAGGGAGAGAACAAAATTTGTTACTCCCCTCCCCCCTTGCCTTTACAAGGAAAGGAAAAGAGTTTCAATAATTAAATGTGTGCTCTGAATTATTTGAATAAACTCCCTCCCTCCTTTGTTTTTGCAAATTATGCAGGCAAATAAAGAAGCATCGAAAGAATGCTAAACTCTCTTTACTATGTTTTTACTGCTAAAAACATAGTAAATCTGTGGGATTGCAAAGTTGGGGACAGGTGATCAACATTTAAACCATTTGTTTCCCCTCTCTTCATATTGTATCATGGCTGGGTTTACACATCGTGTTAGGATAGGCTAAAATGGTATTGGATCATTTGTAATTCATCGTGTTGTGGGAAGCCAGCTTTAGTATGAGGACTAAATGCAACTCGATAAGTCATAATAGGGATTATTTGGTTAAGTATAACATGTTACATGAACTCAGCAACTGTTTTTGTTAAATTGGAATTAGGTTTTGAGCACCGCTATTGTGTTCATATTTGTACTCTGCCACTTTATTAAAGGTTTAGCTGATTAAAAAGTGAAAACTTACATATCACCAAAAGCATAAGCAAACATAATTATCAGTATATTTGTGTAAATGGGTAGGTGTGCATGTTGTAAGAAAACAGCAACGTATAATGACTGAAATTAATTCAATAGGTTTTGTTATTTCTAGATGTAACAGCAAAGGCTAGGTTTGAGTAGGGAATGTTATGGAACTTTCAAAAAGATATTCGAAGATGTGGAATCTATAGGAGAAGTGCACATAA